TTAAGAATGTTGACTTGTGTTTCATAGTTGAGTTCAAGAGAGAAATAAATACACAGACTCCCCGTGTTTGGGAATATAGATGGCAGAGATTTGTATGGCTAAGGGGCACACTTCCTGTACGAGTAGACGTGGCTGTGTACGTGTGTGCATGAGAGTCGGCGCCTTCCAGAAGACACGCAGCAAGAACACAACTGGGCCATTTACATGCTTCTGGTTCAGCTTCGAGAATTCCAGTACAAAAAACGCTTGCATGGAAAATCAGCAACAAATAGCTTAAGATGTAAATAAGACACTCTAGGTTGATCGGGAGACACATTTGCATTCTGGGTTTCATTTAGCCGTCCACACCACCACCCGGGCACGCTGATTCTCCACTTTTGCATATTTTCCTGACTTTGGGGGTCCATCAGCCCTCCCCCTCCCCTGGTCAGCCTAGCTCTGCCTGCAGATGCAGGATCGTGTTTCGGGCACATTTCCATTCTAATGTCACTCAGCCTAGGAAGGCACCCAGCAAACACGTATGAGATGCTTGCCGCCTTATTTTGGGTATTTAAACAGCACCTGCTGCTGGGCCCCATTAAGTCTCATTCACAAATGTTTTCTTTCCATTTTGTCTCCATTCAAGGTCTTTCTGCGTTCCTCTCCTTCGGGAATTTACCACGTTTAGAACAGGGCTGCACCCGCTGTCTCCTGGTCAGGGCTGCCCCTTGTTTTCATCTCTTAGAATGGGGGTTTTATCATCAACAGGACATTGACACAGTCCCTGCGACACTCACAGGGTCCTTTCAACTGGGTGGGGAGTCTGGCTGTTATCTCTAGACAATAAGCATCTCTCTCTTCCAAAATGATTGTAATACCATTCAACCCACATTTTACAACCTATTTCCATTTACAGGCATAAAGGGCAATGGTCCCCAGTGCAAGGTACTCAGAAGCCAGGAGGCCATGGCAGTCAGTATTTCAATTGATTTCACCGCAGAAGGTGTTTTCTCTCTTTCTGATGAAGGTAACAACATGGGTAGTTTGTTCGGGCTTCAGCTGTTATTAGTCTTATATATGGACTTAGCTGAGCAAATAAACCAGAGAAGAAAAATATGTTGCATGTAAAGAAGTATTCTACCCTTTTAAAATAGTACCAAGGAAATGCTTTCTCTCTGAAAACAGATACCTCTGTGCAACTTTCTAATGCTTCTCAATGTGCCCGATAACCCCAGGACTTTCAAACAGAAAGCTTAGTCTGAACTTGGAATTAGGTAACAAAGATAAACGGAGCACTTGACTTTAGTGAAGTTGTGCTGTGAATCTGCTAATGCCTACAGGAGAGATTTTTATGTCAGAACTCTGCCTAAGGGTTTCAGAGGGCAGGGAGCAAGCTGCAAAGCAAGGGGGCCGCTCATCTCAGCTCCACCCTCAGTGAGCAGGGTCACCATCCAGAGGGACCTACCACTAAGTCCAGTCCTCAGCTGTGGGGTTGCAAGGTTCACAGAAGGCAGCTTGTAACAGGTTTATAGAAAGTAACATTTCCTCCTTTTAGAGGAAACAGCATTCAGTCTCAGTGTGGGGAAAAATGTGGACTTTGCCATACCCGCCGTGTATGGAGCAACGCATACTTTTTCTTTCCTCCCGAGCACCCCTTGGGCTGCTGAAGAAAGCAAAGAATGATGTCCTCTCAAAATGCAATATATACATCTTAATGGAAGAACCAGATAAAAACCCAAGCCTGTGCGCATTCTGCCTCATCTGCCAAAAGAGACCCAACCGGCCTTCCATACTTTTTTTTTTCTTTTTGCTCAGGCGCCTGTGGTAGCAAGCAGTTACAACAATCTGAAAATTAAGTTACCACAATTAGGAATTAGAAGCAGGTGGCATAATAATGGTGCTTTTTTTCATTTCATTTATTAGCGAAAAGAGGGAGAGGCGCTTCATTTATTTTCATCAGCCCTCAGTAAAAGCATAGCAATTTGCAACACAAAAATCATTTCAAGTACCTCAGCCTCGTGCAACCTCGTTTTTCCTTTTTTTTGCTTAAAAGCCTTTTAAAGTTTGCCCCCCCCCACGAAAGTGGAGTGTATGTGTGTGTGTGTGTGTGTGTGTGTGTGTGTGTGTGTGTGTGTGTGCGTGCGCGCGCGCGCGGGCCTAAGTACTGGTGGAATCGGGGTGTTTCTCCCCTTAAGTTTCGGAGACCACGGTTGGAGGTTGGGGGGCACTAGAATAGCTCTGTCTGCCTTTGCCCATTCTCTATGTTTCTCACGACTTGTTTCAATCTTGCAAAGATCTAGTTCAGGTGCAATAACAAATAAGGCACTCGACAACTGTCTGCATGGTCCCCCCAATCATCCGCCTGGGCTGCTTCCGCAACCCAGCACCCCTAAACAGCCCAGCACTCCCAACCCCCGCCCGCCCCCAGACTTCCCCGATGCTCCAGGACCCCACCGTGCGACAACCCTTGCGCGCCCTCTAGCGTTAGTATCTGGGATCGCCACGAGCTATACTGCACAGCTGGGCTGCCTGCAATCCCGAGTGGTAGGAGAGGATATGGGATGCACCTCGTTGCTGGATGCACCCGAAAGGCAGGGTGCACGTAGAGCGCCCTGCTCAGGGAGCTCCTGGAGTCGGACGCATGCGTTTGCATGACGCCCCTGTAACCTTGCAGTGGGAGATGTTAATTGCACGTTTTGGGCAGCTCTTTCCATGCCCGAGGACCCCCTTTTGTGTTGCCCCCCGCAGCTCGGGGTGGGTAGGCTCCAGGTGAGCCACCAACCGCTTCCGTGCTAGCTCTCAGCCTGCGTTTCCCCCGGCTCGAGAAGGTCGCAGTGCCAGGCAGTCCCTGCTCTGTGTACCCATCTCCTGCCTGCTCCCTCAGCTCGGTGCTTGTGTTTGTCGCCTGCTGGGAAGTCTGGGGTGTCCCGAATCACAGGACTTCCTTTCCTGAGTGTTCTTGTTCTTGTTCCCCTCTCGCATAATGCCACCCTCTAGGTCCCTCCGTGGCCTCCCACCACAGGGTGCGGGATTCCTGCTTTCTCTTTGCCGCGTACTTTTCCTTCACATTTCAGCCTTTCGTTTCAGTCTGTCTCTCACCCTTCACGACTAAAACGTGTAGATTGAAGGAAGGAGACACAGGCTAGGGGACCCCGCAGCTGGCCGTCCGCGGGAACCCTCTGCAGGCTCCGGTGTCTTTCTCACATCAGTGTGGAGTTTGCTTGGGTTCTGTCCTTTCTGCGACTTTGCGAAGGTTGATTTGAAGAAGATCGAACAAGCAGTGGAGCCGAGGAGGGGGGAGAAGACAGATAAAATTAAGGTTGGTGAGACCAGAGAGGGAGATGGGGTGGGGGGTGGGGCGCGAGGCAACACTCAATGAATGCCCTTTAGAAGGAAATTTGGCAATTCATATCAAGAACTTTTTACATATTATCAGTAATGCCACTTCTTGGAATCCAGCCCAAAGAAATAATATGAAAGGTTAAAAAAATATTTTGGACCCAAAAATGTTAATCACAGGCCTATGAGATAGCTCATCAGCTAAAGGAGAAAACCTACTCAGCAAGTTGTTCTCCGACCTGCACAATACCCGGCCTTTCATAATAATAAATTAATAAATAAATGTAATATTTTTTCGAAGAATCAAACTACAGGAGCATAAAGGAATCTTGGAGATACGGAAATCCCTAAATGTCCAACAACAGTGGACTGTAGGTGACAGAGTCTGCTGCCATCTCATGTAGATGGCGACAGGGCAGTCATGGTTTTAAGAGGGAGAGTGCCAGTCCAAGGGGAAGCAGGCCGTGGAGTGGCCACCAGAAAGCAGGACTCCGGCCGGACCCAGAGCCCGTCCTGGTAAGGCTGAGCATAGGTGCACACAGAAAACGTCTGAACGTGCTTGTCCTGGCGGCGGGAACAAAGGGTGATCTCTTCCTTCCCCAACTTCCCTTCTGCCGCCCGCCTTTCTGGAGGGAGCGTGCCGTTTACTTTCAGGCGGAGTAAAACAGCGACCTCTCTGTCTCCTTTGAGAACAGCAAGTCCCTGAGAAGGAAGAGGGAAGGGATGAAGTCCCAGCCCTAGGATGAACAGGAGCTGGGAGGTGCAGAGGAGGGATCGAGATGAGGGTGTGGGGGTCAGGCACAGAGCGTGGGTTTGGGGAAACGGCCTGAATCCCATGAGCTGGGCAGTGCTGGGCTCCATGGACACTTCCTGCCATACCGGCTGCCGCAGATTCTGTTGGTTTCTTTATTTAGTGTTTACAGTTACATTTACTTAATTATGGGTGAGGCATGGGACTACTATGGTATGTGTATGTGTGTAGGGGGTCAGAGGACAACTTGTAGGAGTCCTGTCCTTCCACTGTGTGGGTCCCAGGGAATGAACTCAGGCCATCAGGTTTAGCAGTAAGCATCTTTACCAGCGCTGCCTACCTGGCCAGCCTGGGACTGACTAGTTCTTTAATGTTGATAAAACATGAAGGCTCCTTCCGACCTGTATTTTTAATCGGGACCAGCCCCCGTCTCCTTGTTTCAATCCCAGTCACAACTCCTGGTTTCTCTTGCCGTAAAAAGGTTTGTGTGTGGACAGGCATGCCCCAGAGCATGCTCATTGTCCCACAGCTGGCCCAAAATGCTGGGTGTATGCATGAGCACCCACTGTGTACCAGGGCTGTAAATTCCACAGATGTGGCATGCCTCCTGCAGAAATCTCACTCCACATCCTCACTCGGCCTGTCCTTCATCTGAGCCGACCCTTCACGATGAAAACGGAAGCCGAGAGAGTTCATTTCCCATGACCTCTCACCTTCTATGTCCCCCTCCCCCATTCCCTGCTGTCCAGCAGGACATTGGACCATGACATAAATGTCCCTTAACTGTGCCGCCCATTATGACAGCCACCCACCACATGTGACCAGTGAGCACTTTTGAAATGTGTCCAGGGTGACTGAGCAATTGAAGCTGCATTTTAATTAATTTTAATTGACATATCAACATATGGCTAGTAACTGCAGTATTGGACGGTGCAGCTCACCAAGAACCAACCCGTCCTCAGCTCTGCCTGTGGCTCTTGTCATTCACATCTCGCCTCTATGTCCGTCTGTCACTACCTCTGCCTCTGAATGTCACTGCTGTGGCAGGCCTGAGCAGGCAATGGCTTTCACCAGCATGTGCCTGCTTGTGAGAACCCACATGAGCATCTCTCCCAGCTCTTCAGGGACCCCCATATGGGGGCTGTTAGCCCTTGTGGAGGTCTTTACACTGCAGGAATGGGCATGGGCAACACTATGAAAAGTTTCTTCTCCTCAGAGAAGCTTGTGCTGAATACTCCGAAGCAGCAGAGCCAAGGCTTGCTGGGAGCATCACTAGCAAATACTCCTTAAATTTTGTCCTCTAGGAACCACCTTGTGTCCCCCGTCTTCCTCGCTCTGCTGAGGACTCCCATACCCAGCTTCTCTGCCTCATCTTAGGTTGGGCCCAGCTCTGGGATCCTGCAGCTTTTCTGTTTAATGTCTGCATTTGTATCTGACTTATTTATTAAACTTAGAATTCCTGCAGGGCATCCTGTGAGGACTGAATCCACGGGGCCCATTGCATAGTGTGTATTCCATAAGCACGTACGTGACTCAACACAGCACACAGCAGGCGCTCCTTAAGAACATATAGAAATAAGAACAATACACAGTGGTTACTCCATAAGAGCATATGTAAGCTGGGGCTTGAGAGGTAGCTCAGCAGTTAATTGCACAGACTGCTTTTTCAGAGGACCTAGGTTCAATTCCCAGCACTCACACGGTGTCTTGCAACATTCTATAACTCCAGTTTCAGGGGGTCTGATTTCCTCTTCTGGCCTCCTTGGGCACCAGGCACACATCTGGTATACATACATGTAGACAAAACACTTGTACACATAAAATAAAAATAAATTAAATATTTTTGAAAGACTAAAGTAGATTAAAAATAAGAACACATTTAAGCAGACACAGTACACAGTAGGTGTTCCAATAAAACGTGCATAGGAAACACAAAAGCTTAGTGGATAGACTGTATGGCTGGAGACCTAAAGCTGGACTCCTGACTCTTATCTCTGTTCTAATGAGTTGTGTGACATGAGATACATCCCCCAGGCTCCGTGTCCTTGCATGTGAGTTTCTTGGACACTCTAGTTCCCTTTCTGCTCACCTCATGGAGATACTATAAGAGCACATAATTACAGTATGGGTTTTTTTTGTTTGTTTGTTTGTTTTGACAGGGTTTCTTTCTATGTGTAACTGCCCTGGCTGTCCTGGAACTCGCTGTGTAGACCAGGTTGGCCTCCAACTCACAGAGCTCTGCCTGCCTCTGCCTCCCGAGTGCTGGGATTAAAGGCGTGCGCCATCACCCGATTGATATGTATGGCTTTAAAAGGTCATTCCCGTAGACAAATTGCTCTGAAAATCTGGAACCCTTTGAGTTCTTTTTGACCTTTGGCCATCTTGTACATGAACATCATGTACAACCTGGGGAAAAGCGAACAGAGGGTCTCTACTCTCTGAGTTCCGGGGAAACAGGACCAGTGCAGTAGCAATCATGCGGGGCCAGGAGGATGCGCGCGCATAGCTCACTGAGCACCAGTCTGGGGGCACAGCTTGGAGGCCCTGACTCTTCCTCCACAGGAAATTCAGGACGGTCTGTGCTGGAGGAGGGCTGTTTATCATGAAGGGGGCCTTCAGGGGAAAGTCAGTCTCTCAGATGGGAGAGGCTTGTTCCATCTGACTTTTAGGAAGTAAGTTTTCTCCTGAAAACCACAGATCTTTGTCACTTATCTTCCTGCTTGAGAATCCCTTCCAATCTGTGATTCTGAGAGCCATGGTGGGCATCTGTGGCCCATGTCAGTTACGGCGTCACCAGGACGGCTCCGGGGGGTTAATTGCATCTAAGCGTTGGAAAGCGACTCTCTAATTAAACTTTGAAACGGAATGGCAGAATCACTGGGTGACAGACTGTCTGTGGGAGGGTCCCCTGAGGTGCTCTTCATTTTCGCTCATCATCTTCTGGGCCCAGGCTGTGCCTGTGTGTGGTGGTGGGGCCGGTGTTTAGACCTCACTCTCGAGAACTCTGGATTCCGTTGGAGGTTTGTCAGACAGGCCCCCCACAGTGCTCTGTGCCCTGCCTGAACCCCACAGTTGGGCCTGGATATCTTGGAAGACTTTCCTTGCTTGTCTTCGGCTCTCTGATTTCTATTTAAAACCGAAAGGTTATTTCTATACTTAGAACCATGACATCAAAGAAATCTGAATGTTGGAAGTTAGTTCTGGATGTTTGTGAGTATTGCCCAGGGATCGAGTTTGAGACCATTGGCACCGGCGATCCAGTTCCCTCACACTGAAACCCTCAGGTTCGTTCACCACCCCAGGCTAGGTCCCTGCCAGACACTTTGGGGGATGCCAGGTGAATCTACACAGCACCCTGCCATGAGGCTCCCTGCAGAGTAGCCAGGCAGGTCAACGGACACTTCACAACATCCGGAACCATCCTGTTTGCTTCTCGTACTCTGCTTTCCATTGCATGGGTGAGAAAATGGAGGCGTCTCCTGACGAAGCGGCTTCCCGAGCCCCTTGAAGCCAGGCTTCCCCATGTTATAGCCTGTGCTTTTTTCTTTGTCTTTAATCCACCGTGAGCATCAGTCTATGCTGGCTGCCGTAGAGACCTGGAGAAGATGGGGTTCATCTCTGTTGGGGGCGAAGCTCCCAGAGGGGATGGTGTTCGGGGGTAATTTGGAAAGGTAAGGGCTATTGCTCTCCCATGGCTGCCGCCAAGGGCAGAAGAAGCATCTTAAGGGAGGCAGGCTTACTTTGGCCTACGGTTTGAGGGGACACCTTGCGTCGTGGTGGGGAGGGCAGCAGGAGCCTGAGGCGGTGCATCTGCAGTCAGGAAGCAGAGTACCTGTGAATGCTGGTGCTCAGGCCTCTTTCTCTTTTTTTATGCAGTCTGAGACTCCCCCCACCTCCCCACCCCCGCTCGTGGAATGGTGTTGTCTATGCTTAGGGCAGGTCTCCCCACCTCAATCAACTTGATCTAAAAAAATAAGTACCTTGCAGACATGCCCAGAGGTTTGCCTCCTCGGCAACTGTAGATCCTATGGAGTTGACGGTCAATATCAACGACCCGTGAGGCCAGGCAAGAGGAAGTACAGAGAACAGGAAGTGGAGTTTGACTTTGGGGACCAGGAGGTTAGTAGGAGGACTTTTCATTTTTCATTTCTTTTTTTTTTTCTTTTTCTTTTCCTTTTTTTTTTTTCTGAGACAGGGTTTCTCTGTGTAGCTTTGTGCCTTTCCTGGAA